AAAATGTTTGCATTTGTCTATTAACAGGATTCACTTCCAACTTGTGACATGAAATATTTTTTTCGAGTTTAATAAGCATTGATGTTATTCCTTTCAAATAAATGGTCATTAAGATTACTGTTCTTGATTTAATACTTCTCTGTTTCTCACTCAAGTATTACTTTACAGAGAGAACTGTCTTAAATAAATTTAAAATGCATTCTGAAGATGAACAGAAGCCTACTGCAGATGGAAATAGCCATGAGACCACCGCATTCAGGGAAGAATTTGAATCAGAAGACAAATGGTAAATATTCTTAAACATTGTAAACATGTTTTATTTATGAAGCATATAGGATTAGATTTTATTTTACTTTTATAATTACCTGGAAAGCCTAGTAACAGAAGGCTTTACTTCAGCTTGTCGGGAGCACTGTTTGACAGGGCAGAGGATGGAGAGGGAAAGTACTCTTGTATCTTTTCCTTTAACTATATTTTGATGAAAAGCAAATCTAAAATCTAAGTTACAGAAATGATGTCAAAGGAGACATGTTGGTTACACTGACATTATCAGTTAACTATGTTAAATTTCTTACTATGTAGGGCACTCAAAATTTTACATATCCTGAATATCTTTGTTCTTGTTCCATTCATAGATTATGACAAAATATAATTCTGTAATTATCTTCCTCTTTCCCATTTCAAAAGCTATATAGTGCTTTGTTTCACCACTAACCCGTGTTGGTTTGACTTTAATTTATAGCATTCAGGAACTGATGCAATTTATGTGCATGAAAGTTTCCTAAAAATAAACATTCAAAAAACGCTCAAGGAATTATCTTCGTTTTCCTCACCATTGTTTCCTGTAAAATTATTTCATAATAATATTTTATTTGATGTTAATTAATATGTTGACTATTTCTGTGAAATGTTCTCACTTTTCAAATGTACTAAAACTATGATACCTTTCAAGCAAGAAGAAAAAGAAGAAAGGAGAAAAGGCTAAGGTGGTCAGCCCTCTAGCGCTGGTAAGATGTGTGCTCTCTCTCTAATTTTCTATCCGTCCACTACCAATATGGATTGTTAGGAGTCTTGCCTTGATAAAGCAGAATGCTGTACACACCTGTACTAGGAGATCTGTGTCTGTGGAAAGAAATAATTTCCATGTTCAATCACTTCTTGGAACAGAACAAAATGTGTGGCGGGAGGTTAAGATTATTATTGCCATTCAGTCATCTAAATTACCTAGGTCATGCTAGTCAGCCCCTTGCTTATTAATCAGTCACCAGAGTCAGCAGTAAAGTGAAGGGAACTAGAAAGTATTTGAAGTTCCATATAATTTTATTTTCTGTATATTTTAAAATAAAATAATCATAGAATCATAGAATGCTTAAGGTTGGAAGGGACCTCTAGAGGTCATCTAGTCCAACCCCCCTGCACACGCAGGGTCACCTAGAGCACGTGGCACAGGACTGCGTCCAAGCGAGTTTTGAAGATCTCCAGAGAAGGAGACTCCACAACCTCTCTGGGCAGCCTGTTCCAGTGCTCTGTCACCCTCACTGTTAAGAAATTTCTCCTTAAGTTCCTATGGAATTTTTGATGTTTCAGTTTCCGGCCATTTCCTCTAGTCCTACCAGTGGCCACCACTGAAAAGAGACCATCACCGTCCTCTGCACTCCCTCCCTTGAGGTACTTATAGACACTGATTAGATCCCCTCTCAGCCTTCTCTTCCCTAGGCTGAACAGGCCCAGCTCCCTCAGCCTCTCCTCATAGGGCAGATGTTCCAGGCCCCTGAGCATCCTGGTAGCCCTGCGCTGGACTCTCTCCAGAAGCTCCACATCCCTCTTGTACTGTGGAGCCAAGAACTGGACACA